AATTGTTGAATTTTGATGATGGGTCCATTTGGATATCTAGCATTATTCCTTTTCACCTGGCTGGAAAAGAGAGAACGGCTTTTGTTCTATAAGAAAAAACCAATAATTAAGAATTTAAATTTAAATAATGAGATAGATGAGAAGAGGTTTAAGAAGAGGTGAGATAAACTTAGTTATATAACTTATCATTCGATATATAAAAAATTGATTTTTTTTTATTTTGTACCCTAAAGATATAATAAATGCATCTTTTATAATTAATTTTTATTAAAAGTATAAATGTTGACTTTGATTTAATTAATTAATTAATTAAAATTATTTACATGCCAATAATATTAAAAAGTATGTCAATTTTTATAATTTTTAATATAAATTAATTACAAAAAATATATTTACTATATTATTAATTTATATCTTAAAAGTATATGTTAAATGAATAAATAATAATAATAATAATAATAAAGAGAGAATGGCCTTTTGGTTTTGTAAAAGCGCTGTAAAGTGATTATGAGGAAAAATAAGAAATTTCAAACACTAGTCATAAGGGACGAAGATCTGGTTTTCAGTTCATTGGTGGGATTTGGCTTAAAAGAGATCAGCAACATCTTCAATGATGAGGAGAGAGAGATATGGAATAGGTATTTGGGCTGATTTAAGTCAGAGCCTGAACGTGGATAAAAGCAAGGTGCCGGTATCCGCATTGATTATCAATTAGTGGCGTCCTGGAATTTCAAAGACTCACCCAACCCACTATGTTGCAGTGTATTTTATAGTTTAGTTTATTAAAAACCTCATAGTTTTAACACAGTCTTAACAAATTTAAAAATAAATGTTAAATTTAATTCTTTAATTTTAAAGTTTTACATAATTTTCATAATTTAATTTTTTTTCACTTTTTTTATTCTTTAATTATGAAAAGTATATTTTTTTAGTCTTCCATTAGTTAATCTATTAAATTTATTTAAATCTACATATTTTTAATCCATCAACTAAAATTAAGAGACAAAAAATATGCATCTATTAAAAGTTAAGAGATTAAAAATATGTAAATTCAGATAAATAGACTTAATAAATTAACTAAAGAAAAATTAAAAAAAAATGTATTTTTCATAATTAAAAAATTAAAAAAGTGCAAAAAAAAAAGTTAGGGAATGAAAATTGTACAAAATCTTAAATTGAAAGACCAAAATTGACATTTAACCCAAACTCAATAAGTATTGATTCATATAACCAACATGTTTATTTCGGCACACTTGGTTTTGTGTCATTACAGCATATCTACTTTGTCGCTGGCATGGGAACATAGAGCTTTTAAGCAAGTCTAGTGCCCTTTTATAACTTTGAAATTTTGTTGAAGGGACAATTTTAATCTAACTTTTAAAGGTAATTATAAGTTATAACCAAGTTTCAAAATGCCTAGTTGCTTTCTGTCTACAGATATAACCTTTTCAGGAGATATTTCTGTCATATACAAATTCATAACAGCGAGTAAAGCAGAACAAAATAGCATTGTTGCTGGTTGTGTCATATATTTCTTTTCATATATGAATATTTTCCCCCTTTTTCGTCAACATTTCCAGTGTGTAGTAGCTGAGACAATCAATGTCGTGTTGCCAGTGAAATTTCTGATAATATTATTCTGCGATAATGCTGTAGCAGAGGCACAGCCCACCATTAGAAGAAAAAGTTCTAGCTTTTCCTATTTCTTTCCTGCTTCAGCAGTATCAGCATCGGCATCTTTTGCTTCGTCTGCTTCATCCATTTCATCAGCTTCATCAGCTAGTTTCATAAGATCTTTAACAAGGATTTTCCCTTCTGTTGCAGGAAATCACAAGGAAAGCAAAGAGTGTTAAGATGTACAAAAGATAATGTCAAGAACAAGAAGATAAAAAAAATATGACAATTTGAAGCAAGCCTCAGGGAAAGAAAATTTTGGAGAAAATAGCAAATATCAGATTGATAACATGATAAGAAGTCTAAAGAAACGAGGTGATTAAGTCTCATTGCATCTAACAAATTTCAGTGATTAAAAATCAACTGCCACCAATCCTTTGAGAACTTTTTGTTATGCCAGTGTCGTTTGCCTAGATTATGATTCATTGCTTCTAATAAATTTGAGTCTCAATGTCTCTATAAGCTTATCTGAATCTCCAATATAATTATGAGTTATCACAATCCAAGATACTTTTGGCAGGCTCTCAATACTAATAGTTTAAATATGCTGCATTGCTACAGGAAGATTAAGAAAAATATTAATGCTATTTGCACAAAACCACCAACCTTTATCTTTGGAAAGGTTGCTAATAAGTTCTTGAAGACCCTCCTTGCCCAATGTGTCCTTGAGATACATGGCAGCAGATGCAACTTCTTCAGGAGTCACTTTTCCATCATAATCCCTGGCATAGAAATGAACAAATGAAGAGGTTTGAATATATGAAAATAAGAACAAAAGAAGAATCCTCCAAATTCCCACCACACCCATCTTTAAGTTTTATGTTGTGTTATGTTTGTAGTAGTATGAACTATGAAGAATTCAGCCTATAGTTTCCTTCAGTGATCAGCTGATCCCAGTCTGCCAGGCACGTTGAAAAGTGATAGAACGAGGAAAAGGAAACAGTAAGGGAAAAGATGGATATATAGGGAAACAGGAAGAAAACAAAGAGATCTCACAAAATTTTTAGAGCGCCAATTCCATTCAAAAGTGACATTACTTGTGACTCAGGTTTACTTACACAGAACTAAGTCACTGAATAGAAGTAGGTGAAATGATGATGAACAGCTATTTACCCACACCTTCAACAAGTGACATTGTACCTTGTTCTTAATGGCAACAGACAATCCATACAACAGCCTTATTCAAAAAGCAAAGGTTGGATTGGTGGAACTCCAACTGAATAAGGAGGGAAGAGCAGCTATGAAGAGAATGCTTCCCAAAGATAGAACAGGATGCCAAAAGGGAGAAGCCAAGGAGAAATGAACAATAATGAGTCAGTTAACCACCCTAAGAAAAAAAATATATTTGGAGCAGACAATCCAAAACTGTGCACTACAAGCAGCACATTTTCAAATCAAGCATCTTTTTGTAGCAGTAAAAATATATTTGGAGCAGACAATCCAAAACTGTGCACTACAAGCAGCACATTTTCAAATCAAGCATCTTTTTGTAGCAGTTTCTTTTGTCACTCAGGATAGTCATAGCAGAGGTTATCCTAAAAGGTCCCTCTTTATAAGGTCCAAATATGTAATTCTCCAAATAGAAGCAAGGGGTAAGAAATAAGAACCAGACAAATTTCAACTGGTTAAGACGTTTTCAGGATAGCCAATGTATTATTAACATGACATTCATTCTCTCTTACCCCCCCACCCTCTATCCCCAAAGCCCTTTTCCTCCAAATTCGATAAAATTCTGAATGGGCTTAAGATTTGTGATTCTGTGCGGTAGTCATATGCCCAGAGTGCATAAAAAGGCATCATTACAAATGTAACACAATAATCCCCATCAGAATATCCAAACTTTTAAGAGGTAAGGAACAAACCTATCCAGTAACCGCCAACGATCTCCAATCTTGGCATCAACCTCATCAATTTCTTTTTCAAGCTTTTGAAGCATTGCATCAACCTAAAATGTGGAAAGTCATGCCAAACTGAGTTACTTTTTTGTTCTGCAGTGTATGGAAGATGGCTAATAAATTGGTGACAGCAACATAGGTGTTGTCCAATTGTAACTAAGTCTGTAAGATAATTACCCTGTTGGTAAGTGCCGAGGGAACCTTTTTACCAATTGCCTTCTCAGCACTCCGGTCACTATCTTGCCGTGCAGCTATGTATGCCTTCTTGGCTGCCTCTTCCCCATCTGTACCCTCTTTCTCAACCATACTGTTGTACAGTTCTATCTGGAAATGATGCAAGCAAATGACAAAAAAGGCAGTATAAAAATCCTCTGAATAATAACAATGGAATAGAAATTAATGAAGTTTTATGTTCCAACTACAGTGGCAATGTCAGAATGCTGGATTGTAGCTTAAGGTCAATATGTTGGATACTCCATTTATAACAGACAGGTACTACTTAACATAAGCAGCCCAGAGTTGTGCCTACTTGAAGCAGGAAAATCCATAATGGCCCTTGACTTCCCATATGTACCCAAAATAATAAAAAATAATAATAAAGGTTAAATATGCAACCAAGATTAACTTAAAACTGAAAGCCATTATTACTACCACACTATCCAATTGCAAAGTGCAAACAGACCTCCACCTAACCTTCAGCAAGAGCACGAATAAATGAAAATTATACTGAAGGAAGGACTGTCCTGCAACACGCAGTGGGACAGCCATTCCTAAGGTTTGAGTTTGTAGGAGTGTGGGAGATGCCTGTCAAACTTTGGTAAAAACTCTGTTCACCCTTATTTAAAAGGAAAAACATAAAACAACATTTTCAGGTAGACCCTCAAAATGTAATGATTTGTTCTACTACCCTGAATAGTGTGTTTCCATCTTACTTCAGTCCCCATAATCTCAAAAGTCTAACTGTCCAAAAAAACACCTTCAAAACCAAGTAAAATGAAGAGAGAAAATTCTTCTATTTGAAATGATTTTTCGCTGCATTACCTCCTTGTTAACAAGTCTCAGGAACTCTTCACGCTCCCTACTGACTGACTGAAACAAGTAGCAAAAAGAAGTCAAGAAAATGAGAAGGTGCAGGCAGGTGTCATTACACAAAAAGTATATGTAGAAGGCATTTAAGCAATGATTTCAAGTCCTTACAGATGCAGAAGCTAAAACAGCCAATGCCTGACTGAGCTCACAAAGTTGCTCATGTTTCTCCAATGTTTTTGCTTTTGCCTGCTCTTCTGCCTCTTTAACAGTTGGATCAATCATCTCTTCCAAAGCAACATCCTTTTGTCTGCCAACAGCCTCCTTCAACTTGGCTTGTTCCTCTTCCTCTTCCTGTTCTTCCTCCTATATGCAAAGCACATAAAATACACTATGAGTAGAATCTTTAAATTTAAATGGATATAAAAATCCATATAATTAAGTGTATAGGAAGACATATCTTTACAGAAATAAAACTAAATCAAAATTAATGTTCCTTAGAGCATGGGAGGGAGATACACTTTAAAACCTAAAATTAGTTTTTTAAGGCTACACAGATTGAGATCCTTTTCCCATGGCTACACTTAGCAACAGGCCTTTATCAAAAAGCATCTGGTCATGATAAAGGTCTTAGATTGGCCAAAAAAAGGATAAATATTTTAGTTTAAATTGTATATGGTTTTCCATTTCACCATGGGTGAGTTTGTAAAATATTTCACATATAAGAGGAAGACAACGGATCTCAGTTCTTGAACAAGGTAAAAGAAAACAATCTCAATCTATTTGTCTCTAACAATCAATAAGTGCAAGAAATGCATAAAGATAGATAACCTTGATAAGTTCTTCCTGCATTTCAAGGAATTCCAACTTTCTCCTCCTCTCTGAAACAGAATCTTCAGATGACAAAGCTGTAACACCAACAGTATCGACAACCTCATCAGGCAAAGAGGAGAGAGTGGCTTGAACAGCTTCCTCTGGCCTTACTTTTCCAGATAGACTGAAGGCTCTGCAACGGAAGAGAGAGAAACAACAAGTCTTAGTTGTGTCCTCTTTCTTGAAATAAATACAAATGGGTGAAATGCAAAGTTACCTAGAAAGAATCAAAAGAGAAGATGGAACAGAACGATTGAGAGACAAATCCAGCCAATTGCGTAACTGCAAAGAGAAAAACATACTTAAATAGGGGAGTTATGGTACCCTGAAACAAGGATAACACCTACTATGGTAAGAAATAGACCACACCTAGGATGTCTAAAAGGACAGTATTGTTCAAATTCATTCACCAAGAGTTAAGGCAAAATATTCTCATTCCGAAATTTGAAATTGCTTGCTGAAACTGTCAATTTATTATTATTCACGTATCACAGTTAAATTTCTTTGTCAGTAGAAGAAAATGATACATAACATTAAATACTAACCTGATCTCTCATCTCCTCCACTGACAGTAGCCCAAGCATGCCTCGATCTCTACAGGCTTGACAAAGCTCTTCCTCTGTAAGGGACTTCACACCCTCAGCTTGAATCATCTTATCATCATTCTTTATTCTGCCAAGTAAAGCCATTTTTCAGTGATGCAGGGTCCAAGATGTCAACCAATCATTGAAAATCATTCACTAAAGTTGTATCTTCCCACCCTCTTTTTATAGATGGACTCTTAAGTTTCTAATAACAGCAGTAATTCTTTGAATATCTAAGAAATTTAAGTATGCTACTGTTTCAATTAAGCATTAATGGAAGTGTAAAAAAAAAAATGCTCCAAAAGCATCAAGAATAAAATTAATGCCACCACCTTAAGCAGAACATCTACATTCTGACATTCAAAAGAAATTGAAGAAAGAAAAGAAACTCTTACTCATATAGTCTTTTTCGAAGCATATAACGTAAATATGCATCTGTTCCATATGGGCTGATTCCCATATATTTGCACATATTCACCAAACGAGGCCTGTGATCAACAACCATAAACAGGTGGACTGTCAACTCATCAATACAACCATTGAGAGTTATAACCTGAAAGCCAATGATATTGCCTAATACCATGGCAATTACTCAAATACCAACCTGCTAATGTTATCCAGAGTAAGCTCATCATTGAATAACTTGGCAAAGCCTAAAATTTCATCATTAGAAACAGGTGCACCAGTTCTAACCTGTTCAGTGCCAGAATAAAGTTTACATAATCATAAGTTTTCAAAACTCATCTCTGGTTAGGAAACAGAATAAAGTAAATCTGTCCTTTAGTTTGGAAATATATATATAACTTGAAAGAGAGATAAATTAATTGCCTTGTTCATAAATTCATCAAGATCTTCAGCTGTCTTTTTCATATCTCCACTTCGTGAATTTTGGACTTCCTTTGCCATTTCTTTCACCGTGTCTTGAAGAAACTTAGCATATTCTAACCTTGCAGTTAGCCGTCTTTTCAATGCTTCCTGCAGTATAATCATTCCAGGTAAAATTAGTAAACAGGGAAGCAGATTGTTTGAAAAAATCAAAAAGAAGCAGCAAGTAGTGACACAATTCCAGGCTAACTAATGACTGGACTGATGATTAGCATGGGGCCACACTCCAAGAGCTTTGTAAAGGCCACAATAGGAATGCTGAGACATAGATACATACACATAAAAAAATGCACACTTAAAATGTATTTACATTAAAAAAAAATGAGATAATATGGAAAAGAAAATGAAGGTAGATATTTCACTCTTGTTTTGAAGTCTGAACTACATATACAAGTTAGTATGATGCCGCTTTAGAAATGCATCAACCATAGACCAGTTCAACATTTCCTTTGATGGCATTACCTCTTCTTTCATCTTGTCCTGGAAGGTTGATGGTAACATGTTGGGAAATAATTTCAAAAATACTGGCAGCAAGAACTCCATAAATGGAACTATGATGAAAACAGCAAAAGGCACTAGCCTAAAGATATCAGCTGTGGTACGTGTCAGCTGTTGCCTTTCTCTTCTAGAAAGACCCTTCCCATTAACAAGTTTTACCAACATCCTCGAGCTTATCCTAATATCAGCCCAGAGTAACTTTGTACCCAACCAGTAGTGTTGCATTGTGGATATAAATTCATCTTTCCAATGACGAAGCTTATTAGCCCAGTCTTCACTGAAAGAAGGCAAATAAAATGAGAATCAAATGTATTAACATCTGCTTGATAAATAAGAATAATAATAATAATAATAATAAAAGGAAGGAAGAAACAAAAAAATTGGAGAAATTAAAACCTGCTCATAGAAGCAACAGCTCTCAAAGCAGGTCCAATACCCAGAAGCTTAGCCCAGACTCTTGTCATTATAGGTTGAACACTCTTTTGGGATTCTTGCTTCTGCTTGACTTTGGCTTGGGCTTTGGCTTTTGCTGTACTCAAACCTTCAACTGCTATATCACACTCCTCAGGTGAAGCCTCCTTCACCTTTTTAGCTTGCTGTTCCTTTCCATCACTACCACTGCCCAATTGAGGTTGTCCAGCAGTGGCTGCAGAAGCAGATTGTGAAATCCACCGGATGCCCAATGGATAAAATGAATAAGCATTTCCATCCCAATAATTGAATTTTAAGATTCTAATGGAGTTATTCCCAGGCAATTGTGCTGCAAAATGATTTGACAGTTCATTCCTAGCAACTGAAGATAAAGCCCCTTTCCTACAATTGGAAATATCAGATAATTTGCTTCCAACCCTGTCAGCTCCATATGAATCACTAGATGAAGATGATTGCCCATGTTCAAAACCTGAAAAACCTTGAATTACACAAGATGATTGATTCAGGACATTCAAGGGATACTTCCTCCTACGTAAAATTGCTCTCGAGGCCATTATCAAAATATTCTATCTTTATGAAGGAAAGAGCAGTAGAATTTCTCATGCAACCACTCAACTTAGCCAGTCTGCACAGAACAACAAAATTGCCCATCAAACTATGCTACAATGAAACTCAAAATTTGGTAAAAGATTTTAAAATATTCAATCAATACTAACTACTCACTATTTCCAATATCAAAGACCTGGATAAAACTAGAATCACATAAGCAAAGGGGAAAACACAAAGAATCATGGAAATGATTTCTCTTCCGTTGACATAGAGTTATGAGTGTCCCTGAGTCATTATATCTCACATTTAAAATCTACCCCTAAAAGGTTTTATTCAACATATGGGAGATTGCAATGTGTGACATAGGCAAGTTTGTCAGCATCACTCAAATCAAACCCACGAAAACTTCGAAATTATTCAACCCAATATATCTTCATCTATATAGAAATTATGAACCAGATTAGCACAAGCACCCACTTGATGCACCATACCAAACAATCAAATCTCAAACGTGAAATACTTGAAATCTTAAGGTCATTTACTTTTCCTCTAGTTTCCCAGCATCCAATCAGAAAACACAGAAAACCCATTTCAGATGAATAAAAATTCACACCACCCATCAAATGCCCCTTCCAAGCAACCAAAATCTACGTCGGCCAAACGAAAAATGAAAAAACCAAAATCTACACATACAATCCATATAAGAAAATAAAGCCAATAACACACATTTGACGCAAAACCCATTAGCAAGACACCATTTTTGGACTTACCCTTGAAGAAGAGCTTAATGGAGCACAGAAAATATGGATCAAAATGGGGGCACTAGAGCCGGACAGAAAGTGGTAACCGAGTCAAGAGGAGCGCGGAAGTGGAAAAACTGATTCAGACAAAGTTATTGCAATTTATTTTATATATTTATATTAAACTTAGACGGTAATTTCAGTCTGATCAGAAGCTCTGCCAACCGTAAGATTATTGAAGCATTTATCTGAACTGTTCGATTGAGATACTAGAAGTCTAACTTCAGATTTGGGGCTGAGGGAGATGTGCAGTGGGAGGTAAAATTTTTTTTTCCAACTGATTATATCTAAAAATAAATGGTGAGAAGAGGGGAATGTAGGAAAATGAAAAAATAAAATATTCTTTCTCTCTTTTCCCCTCTTCTCTGCTTCTTTGAAATAAATTTTAAATAAAAAATTAATTATATAATGATAGGTTATAATTTTAAATTTATTAAAAATAATATAATTATTATATTATATGATATTATAAATTTTTAATATAACATATTTTTATATAATTAATTCATTTAACTTTGTATTTATTTATGATATTATTTATATATATTTATTTAATAATATGTCACACTTATTTAATAATAAATTTTAATTATAATCTTATAATTTTAA